CCGAGGGGTCCGCAGGTACCTCGGCTTGGAGTGCGCTCGCGACTGAACTTCCCATCAGCCATGCATCCCCTGGCCACGAACCAGAACACGGGATTCGGGGAATTTTTTAGAGAGGTTATCTTCCTCGCGGTCCGGGCGGTTAAGCCAAGACCCTCGCCCCCGATCAGAGCCGCGAGACTTAACCACAGCGCTCTTCTCGGGATTACGATATGCCGACGGTTGACAGGGAGACTACGTCCCCCTGCCTGCTCGGTGGTAGTGTGAGTACACGCCGAGCCCGTCCTCCTTTCTCCACCGCTATCAGCGGAGAAACTGTGGCCCCTACAGGGCCCCGCCATCAGGTTTTTTACCGAGGTTTCCTCCTCCATGCTCCGAAGAGCGAAGAGCCAGCAGGGCAACCGGCAGACACGCCCACCCTGCTGGACCAGGCCTTGCCCGAGAGCCGATGAACGGCTACCTCTTCTGCTAGAATATTGGCCGCTGGCGATAATCCTCTCCTCCAAGAGGACAAGGAGGAAACAGTACCATCGCCAGCGTTTCCAGGGTGCACCACGAGGAGGTTTTCTAGCCCAGCACCCCAAACAAACCCTTTTTTTTTTTTTTTTTTTCTACGTGTGGAAATCCCCTCGGACCGTCACCCCGCCGGGGCTCTCGTTCGGCGGGGCGGTGTGTCGGACTCGAACCGACTAAAACCACACGGTGTGCCCTCTTTGCGCTTTCAGTTTAGGAGGGGTCCAGGTAGTTATCTCCTTCTGGACCCACCCCAAACAAACCCTATACCAACCCGTCTGGCCAGCGTGGTATAGTAGGCCAAAACCTCCTTTCTAAGGAGAGGCCTATGTCCAGCAGTGGACTAGTATAGGCTGTTGATGATGATGATGATGATATTTTCGCAGTCTAGTACAGTCTTATTATTACTTAAGTCTAAATAAAATTATCTTAAGTTAACGCTCTGGGTTTTGTTGTGGAGATTTTTCGAGTGCTTTTTCGATTTTTTTTAAGTTCCATTTGACGTGGACTGCCTATAGATTATGATATTTCTCCTAACTGACCCTTGCGTGCTTAAGGACTTTAATACTTTCCTGAGTGACTGCTGTTTTGTAAATTGGATTCCGAACTTGTCCTATTCTGTGGATCTTATTTTAAAAACTGTTTGTTTGTACCGCTAAGATGGGAGGACGTGACACGTCAATTCGAATTATGTGCCTTTTTTTGATATTTTTTTATGTTAGAGGAGGCAGACGAGTAGACGGGTCGGGGAAAGTGACCATCGCCGCCTATGAACGTCTGTAACTCAGGAGTCACAAACGCGTTGCCGGCTTTTTAGTAAGGCTATATTGCATTAATTGCAATATAGCCAGATACCACTTGATACCAGAGTTACCACTGTACTCTGTAGCTGGGTATATCCCCAAATAAGAAGCTTCAAATCTTAACGTGGAGTAGCATATTAATCGTATTAAATCGTTTTATTAACGACTCCATTTAAGTTTGAAATTAGTTGAATGATCCCAGAAACATTGATATGAGTTAAAAAATTCTTTATGATGTGAAAGATTATGTATGCGAAGCATATAGAGACAACTCCCGCATTAGGAATATATCGCGGGGGACTTTACAAACATACATGAAACGGACACAAAGACCACCCAGACTCAGAACAACAATTTGTTGATCACACAAAGTGTCGTCCCATGTAGTGTTTGAACCCACAACACTCGGCGCAGTAGGAAGCGGCGTGGCGACCGCTTAAACCACTACGCCATCCGTGCAGTCAGAAGCTTCTCGCAGTGATGAACAACAAGCTAGACCTCACCAAGGCCACACTAACGCGAGTCTTTTACGACTGTGTGGTTTTTCTATTTTGTGACGTTAAAGTTATAAAATCTTGTGACAATCCTTCAGCACTGCAGTCCACGATAAATATTATAAATACGACATTTTGGTTATTTTGTACTCTTAATTACAACAAAATGGTAATTATTTTTATGTGATAAAGATAAGGATGTCGTTTGAACATCTCACCAAACACATATTTATCTTTGTTTATCAAAATACATTAAAACATACAAAGTTCTTTATTAAATGTAAATACTAAACTACAATTTAATGGTTGAGGAGGTGTATTCTTAGTTATTAGATAGCCTGTGTAAGGACTACAGTGATTATCCCTATTGCATGTCTTAATAAAACAGAAAACATTAAAATGTAAATGGATATAATAGCCAAACGCATCTAGCATTATAATTCTGGTTATCCATGTGGTGACGAAAAGTACACTAAGGGAGAAAACTACGCAAGACAACACTGCAAAGAGAAGGAAAACTTGAAACAAACCCTATACCAACCCGTCTGGCCAGCGTGGTATAGTAGGCCAAAACCTCCTTTCTAAGGAGAGGCCTATGGAAAGCAGTGGACTATTAAAGGCTGTTGATGTGTGATGATATGATTGATTAATAAGAAAATTGTTTGATGCCTCACTATAAAGACTAAACGATAGGCGGCGGATAGCCGCCACCGGTTACGTTAGCTTAGGTTTAGAATTTGCAATTTATAAGATGTTGAAAAATAAATTTAGAAAAAGTAATTAACTTATTGGATATTTATATATATGCATATATAATGTACACAAGTATAAGATAAATATTTATATAAAGCCGTAAGTATGATGATTATTTATATAGAGCCGTGGTTTAATAGATAATAATAATATTGTACCACATTCACACAACGCCATCTAGTCCCAAACTAAGCAGAGCTTGAACTATGGGTACTAGATAACTGATATAAATACATATATACTTTTTTTTTGTAAATACATACTTATTATACATAGAAACACCCAGACCAAAACAAACATTAAAAGTTCATGCACACAAATGTTTGACTTGAGCGGGAATCGAACCCGCGACCTTTGGAATAGCAGTCCGTTACACAAACCACTCGGTTGTCAAAGATGATAATCCATTTGTGTAAAATTCATGTAATATTAATATATTTACAAAGACAAATGTTAAAATAACTGTATTCATAGAAGCTGTCCATCGAACCCCAACCCATGCAATGTTTAGACCATAAATCAACTTTATATACAGGTGTGCTTAAGGAAGAGATTAGGTACGTCATAAATTCACAAAAAATGAATAAAGCACCGGGCGAAGACAATATCACCAACGAGTTACTGAGAGCTCTATCAGAACCGTTACAAAGCACTCTAAAAATTTTATTTGACAACTCAATAACTACCGACCTATCAGTCTAATGTCGAACATATACAAACTATTTTCTAAATTAATTCTAAACAGAATAACAAACATTTTGGATGAAAACCAGCCAAGTGAGCAAGCAGGCTTCCGAAAGAGCTACTCCACTTTGGATCATATTCATGTGGTGGCACAGGCAATTGAAAAGGTCAAGGAATATAACAAAACACTGTATATATGTTTCATAGACTATAAAAAAGCGTTCGATTCCTTAAAACACAATATAATCTGGGATACACTTCGTGAACAAGGCGTGGAATCACAATATATTACTGTGTTACAAAACATATATAACGAAAGCTGTGCAAAGATTAGACTAGAAAAAGAGGGAGAGAAATTTGCTATAAGGAAAGGTGTCCGACAGGGTGATCCATTATCACCAAAAATATTTACAGCCGTTCTAGAGAGTATATTTCGAAAACTAGATTGGTCGAAGAAGGGACTGCTAGTAAATGGAGAATATCTAAGCCATCTCCGTTTTGCAGATGACATAGTTGTCTTCGCTGAAAATCATGAAGATTTGTCTAGAATGCTGAGTGAACTAACACAGGAAAGTATAAAGGTGGGTCTGTCTATCAATTTCACAAAAACCAAAATAATCACAAATAGTGAAGTGAAAAATACAGTCATTATTGATGGTCAGGACATAGAATATGTCAAAGATTATATATATCTAGGTCAATCTGTTTCTTTTGAACACCACACCGAGGATGAAGTACGTCGAAGGATCGCTATAGCTTGGAAGAAATACTGGGGTTTAAAAGAAATAATGAAAAATAAAGCAATCAATATCAATATCAAGAGAAAGCTGTTTGATGTAGCGATTCTGCCTTGTTTAACATACGGGTGTCAGAGTTGGTCATTAAGAAAATGTGAAGAGGACAAGCTAGCAATATGCCAACGTAAAATGGAAAGGAGCATGTTAGGGATACGATTACGGAACAGAATTACTAACCATGAAATTAGAAAAATGACCAAAATTACAGATGTTACAGCAAGAATAAGATTACTGAAATGGAATTGGGCGGGGCATATATGTCGGATGGCTAATGATAGATGGACGAAAAAGGTCACGGAGTGGATCCCTAGAAACGGGAAAAGATCACAAGGAAGACAAAGGAAACGTTGGGCAGATGTATTCCTAGAAAGACAAGGACCTACCTGGATGACCAAAGCCAGAGACAGGCAGTACTGGAAGGAAATGGGGGAGGCCTACGCCAAGGAGGCGACTACTACTTAGTCAAAATTTGTAAATAAAAATTTAAAATAATATGGATAAAATAATATTAATTTATATACATGCATGCAATGTTACACATAGAATTAATGTTTAAAATGATTTGATACAGAATGAACTAATTTTTAAAAAATATTCTAAGGTTTTTAAAAATCAAATAAGATATATATTATTTATAGTGATGATGAAATATACCACTAAAGCACAATTAATTAATTATTTTCAATTCGTTACAATGTTATTTTTATTTCACCTACCACAATTAATTAATGATTATATTATTTATTGAAAGATTAGTTAATATTTAGCATCAATTTACTGGTTATTATCAAATTTACTGCAATGTTATTTAATATTTAGAATAAGCAAATTACTTTGTATGTACAATGCATTACTAATTAGATTCTCATCAAGTATTGTAAGATAATTTAGTAGTAGAATAAATGGCTTTTTTATTTATTTATTTTTATTATTCATAGAAGCTATATGTAGGTACTTACGAACATCCTGTCAGGAACCTAAAGAGGATCAGCATCCAGACGTTACTCGAGAATGAGGATATGATGGAGAAGATGGCAGAAACGACTATGGCTGGCAGCATCACTGCACGTCTTCCTAATCTGTCAACTAAGTAGCCCCATAGGAATGATGTACTGATTATACCTGGAAAGACGAAGACGGTTATATCATCTGGTGGAGGATAATTTTAGTGGCATGCTGAAAGTGCCATGAGGTTGATATCTATGTCCTAGGGATAACTCCAATCGCAGAACAAACACTATGGCTTTATAGACCTACTGACCTACCTGACCATTTCCCACGCTCCCACTTGCCTCCCTAATTCTGGCGAGAACACTAAAAAGACGATAATGCATGGTAAGGCATGTGCCTCTTGGGTTGTAATTGTCCATGAGTGGTGATAATCACTTACCATCGAGTGACCAGTCTTCTGGTTGGCTCTCTTTGCCCTAATATATTCGATTGAACATCTTAATGTAGCGTTCAGGGAATCATAATAATCCTTGTCACCACATATTTACTCACGTCTGCGCCCACGAAGTTGTAGGCAGAGGCTTATTATACGCCAACAGTTTACTAATAATTGAGAGTGGAGGGAGGGAGGAGGTTTAACTTTATAACATAAAAAAACAAATATCTGGCTTAGAACCGGCGAACCTTGCCACTTTGGTGTTCCCCATCGCAGAGTTGCGGTATCCTTAATCTAGGATGTTATTTGGACATGTTGCCATTTTTCAATAACAATGTATTTTTGGTAATAATAACTTTACACATCTCACACACGGCAGTCTGATCCTAAGCTAGGCAGAACTTATGCTATGATTACCAGACTGCTGAAAAACCTTCTTAAATATTTCCAAACTAGCTGAGACCCGCGGTGTTACCCGCGTTTGTTGTTATAACCGCGGGCAACGCCGCGGGGAGAAGCTAGTCTAAAAAAAGTAGCCTAAGTTACTCCTTATGTCAAAAATCGTATCTTATGTGAAATCGGTCCAGCCGTTCCAGAGATTACCCGGAACAAACAGACAGACAGACAGACAAAAATGGTAAAAAATGTTATTTTGGCAAATGTACCGTGTAAACATACATGTGCATTTAGTAAAAAGCGGTTATTTTAATATTACAAACAGACACTCCAATTTTATTTATTTGTATAGATACATACGTATTTAAATAAATTACACCCAGACACAGAACAAACGATCGTACTCATATCACAATTATAAGCAGCCTCCAGCTTATCAGCCAGAACCACTAACCACTAAAATAGTCGCGTAAACATTCCTTCTTTTTAATTCTTTGTTCTTCTGTGTCATTTTCTACCTGCAGAAATATAAATCACCGTTGGTAGGTAATTATACTAAATACTAAATTATTTAAATCAATTACAAGACATAATTTCAGGAATTTAAATATATTCAGTTTGTTTTCCAAGATTAGTTTATATTTTTCAAGGGTATTATATTGCGGTAGTAAAAAGAGCGAAGAATTATACAAGCCTAAGTAATTTATTACTCATTCAGTTTTTAAGAATAAGCTAAAATTATTTGTTTGTTCTCTCAGAACGTATCAGTTGCACGTGCAAACAAAAATATATTGTTTTACAACGCATTGTTTCTGTTGTATTTTAATAAACACGAGCTCGTCTAGCGGTTGAGCTTAAACTGTTTTGAATGACTTCTTTTATTCAAATGTCATGTTAAACATAAAAAGATTTAAAAAATTCTTTCAGCATTCAGAAAAGCTACATTTCAGCCAGTAACATTGGCTAGTTTTTACTACGATAACCAATATACACGCGGGTTAGACTTAAATATAATTGATTTGACAATATCTAGGTATGACGTCACGCCATAGTATTTCATACAAAAATGTACCTGTCATTTTAATTAATTATTTACCAAACATAACCTATCTGCTGCATTCCTGTGCAAATGAATGGTAGAGTTTATGTATTTGTGTATTACAGATTCCTTATGTATTTACTTGTATTTATATAAGTAGGTATTGCTAGGACTGACTGCTGTATATAATTGACACTACTTTGTTTTGTAATTGTCAAAGGAATGCTGTTGTGCTGTATAAATATTTTTCTTTTTGTTTTTAGTTTCCTTTACACTTTTTTCTCACCAAATCTGCCCATGAAATTAACTATTTAGTCTATTTGTCCATCCAAAGGTTGCCTGTAAGATATTGCTTTTATTGAATTGGTGTACAATAAAGATTATTCTATTCTATTCTATTCTATGTACCGCGTCTATCGTTTTGATTTGACTTGACATTTAAATCTACCCCATGACGTATAGTTTACTTTTTTATTTGAAGCCATCGGAGGGGATCTCTTGCTACCGGCCGTCTTACGCTCTATGGCCGATAGTAACAGATGTGTCACCGCCGTCGCATCCTGCTGCGAGATGAGGCGACGGAGCGGGCCCGGGAGAACAACCTCCACTCGGACCCGGCCAGCGGAGGCGCGCTTATCGCCCCCTCATGCCGCCCTGAGTGTGGCCGCAGATGGACGGGACGGGTTTTCGCCTCCACCCGCTATAACGGCCAGCTGCGAGTAGGCGACGACCGTGTGTGCCGGACGTCGCCTATATGGAGAATGTACCTGAGGATGGTGTACACGCCATTGCGGGCAGGCGCTCGGAGGGGTAGAGATGTCTGTATAATAGCAGTTCCCGGATCTCTCCTGTTACAGGCACAGAGTGGCACACCGTGATGTTTTAGTCCCCGCCGCAAAACCCCGGTGGGGTGATAGCCCGATGGGGTTCGGAAACGTAAAAAAAATTACGAAAGATGGTGGTTCGCCCCCTCACATGCCAGTGCCTGATCGTGCATAGTGCCTGACAGCAATACCCTTGTCCCAATTGCGTAAGTAGGACTAAAATTATAGTTGGCACAATGTGGACGTTTAATACCTCTCTGTCCAACCTGTCGGCGTTTTACACGTAAGGATATATATATGATTTCATTTTCAATATCCATATTAATACTATAAATGCGAAAGTGTGTCTGTCTGTTTCCTCTTCACACTCAAACCGCTGAACCGATTTTGATGAAATTTGGTATAGAGTTCCTTGGGTTTAAATCCCGGGAAAGAACATAGGATAGTTTTTTCATAGCAATAATCCTTTAAGGGAGTGAAAAGGGGGTGGAAGTATGTCATCATCTCATCAACAGCCTATACTAGTCCACTGCTGGACATAGGCCTCTCCTTAGAAAGGAGGTTTTGGCCTACTATACCACGCTGGTCAGACGGGTTGGTATAGGGTTTGTTTAAAGTTTTCCTTCTCTCTGCAGTGCTGTTGTCCTGCTTAGTTTGCTCCCTTAGTCGGCTCTTACGACACCCACGGGATGAATTGGGGTAGTGACAATTTGTATTCTTAATCCGTCACCACACGGACTGGAAGTTTGTATGAAGGAAGTATGTATGAGGAATCAATAACCGCAGAATTGATTTAGGTGAAATTTGTTATGGAGAGGGTTTGAGTTGTAGGGAAGGACACATACCATTTACCGCGATAAAAGACATGCACGCGGGCGGAGCAGCGGGCAAAAGCTAGTTCTTTTATGAATGCCTATATTATGATGTTTTTTCGTATATGTTTAGATAGACATTTTAATTATTTGTGTGTACAGAATAGGTTTCACCCAAGGTCTACAGTTCTCTAAATAAATATGACAGAGAATTTTATGATAAGTATGACTACTGATTACAGTATCTGGGTCATAAAAAATGTTAATGACAGAAACCAATTGCTTGTTATTTAAATACACATCACATCACTTCAACAACTTTTAATGGTCCACTGCTGGACACAGACCTCTCCTTAGAAAAGAGGCTTTCTGGCCTACTGTACCACGCTGGCCAGACGGGTTGGTATAGGGCTTGTGTCTTTTCTATTTAGAGGAGCGTACCGTCGTGTAAGAGGATCAAGAGGGTAATTTGAGGTGTCGGCCCATGTCGTGCGGTGTTTCACATGGGTCTGTTCTTGGACCCCTCTTGTGGAACATAGGGTACGACTGGGCCCTTCGAGCCGATTTCCCCCCCGGGCTGGGTGTAATTTGTTACGCAGATGACACTCTGGTGACAGCCCGGGGGACGAACTTCCAAGAGGCGGCGCGCCTGACCACAAGGGGAGTCTCCCTGGTGGCCGGGCGCATTGAGGCGCTGGGCTTACGGGTGGCCCTAGATAAGACAAAGGCCCTGTTATTTCATGGGCCCCGTCGTGGTCCACCCCCTGGCGCCTCAATCGTGGTCAACTCGGTCCTCGTACCGGTTCGGGCCCAGATGAAATATCTGGGCCTGATCCTCGACGGGAGGTGGCTCTTCGACGAGCACTTCCGACAGCTTGCTCCAAAGCTGGTCGGCGTTGCGTCTGCCCTAGGGCGACTTTTGCCCAATTTGGGTGGACCCAGCTTCGCGACAAGACGGCTGTACACGGGGGTTGTCCGGTCAATGGCACTATACGGTGCACCGGTGTGGGCGGCGGCTCTGACCGTCCAGAATAGGGCACGCCTCTGGCGCCCTCAGAGGGTAATGGCGGTTAGAGCCATACGCGGTTACCGCACCGTTACGACGGAGGTGGCGTGCGCGTTGGCCGGAACTCCCCCGTGGGATTTGGATTGCCATTGACGGTTTTGACAATTTGCAATTGACGGTTTTGATTTGCCATTGGATTTGGATTGCCATTGACGGTTTTGACCATTTGCCATTGACGGCACTATACGGTGCACCGGTGTGGGCGGCGGCTCTGACCGTCCAGAATAGGGCACGCCTCTGGCGCCCTCAGAGGGTAATGGCGGTTAGAGCCATACGCGGTTACCGCACCGTTTCGACGGAGGTGGCGTGCGCGTTGGCCGGAACTTGCCATTGGATTTGGATTGCCATTGACGGTTTTGACCATTTGCCATTGGATTTGGATTGCCATTGAAGTGCTCGCCGAAGTTTATCGGCGAGTGGCTGACTCCCGGGCGGAGAGCGGATTTCGCCCTCCGCCCGAGGATGTGCGCGAGTGGCGTGAAGCCGCTCGCCGAGCCACGATGGCTCGTTGGTCGTTCCGGCTGGAGACTCCACGCGCTGGCTTCGCCGCCGTGGAGGCTCTCCAGCCGGTCATCGCCAAGTGGGCAGGGCGGCAGCACGGGACCCTTACCTTCCGGGTGACGCAGGTGCTTTCCGGGCACGGTTGCTTCGGAAAGTACCTGCACTCGGTCGCTAGGAGGGAACTGAGTCCCGCCTGCTACCACTGCGACTGCAGTGAGGACTCGGCCCAGCACACGCTGGCGGTCTGCCCCGCATGGGCGACGCAGCGCCGGGCCCTCACTGCAGTCATCGGAGTGGATCTCTCGCTGCCGGCCGTAGTACGCTCCATGGCCGGTAGCGACAGTTGTTTTACCGTGGTCGCAAGGAGGCGGCGGAGAAGGCCCGGGAGGACGACCTCCACTCGGACCCGATCCGCCGCCGGCGAACCGGGCGGCGGAGGCGCGCCTATCACCGCCTCATGCCGCCCTGAGTGTGGCCGCGGGTGGAAGGGGTGGGTTTCCCCTCCACCCGCATTAGTTTGGCCAGCCGCGAGGGGGCGGCGTCCGCGTGTGACGGACGTCACCTAAAGAGAGGAATATTTTGAGACGGGGCCCGCAACAGGAGCGGGCCGGCGCTAGGAGGGGTCCGGATGTCTTAATAACAGCTGTTCCCGGATCCCTCCTATTACAGGCGCAGAGTGGCACACCGTGTGGTTTTACTCGGTCCGAGTCCGACACACCACCCCGCCGCAAACCCCGGTGGGGTGACGGTCCGAGGGGATTTCCACACGTTAAAAAAAAAAAAACAAAAAAAAAAGGGCTTGTGTCTTTTCCTTCTGTTCGTTTTCCTACGTAGTATCCCATCGTAGATATGCAATGTATTCGTACGTATCTATGTATACATCAACAGCCTTGAACAGCCCACTGTTGGACATAGGCCTCTCCTTAGAAACGAGGTTTTGGCCTACTACACCACGCTGACCAGACGGGTTGGTATAGGGTTTGTGTCAATTCCCTCCAAAAGAAGAATTCCCATTTCAGTGTAAAACTCAGTTTCACACTTTTTTTGCTGTGTCAAATATTTATAAACTGCATTGATTATTATCTGGAATATTAATGTATATTGTAACAGAATTTGTAAATATTGGGAAAATAAATGTGAAATATTAAAAACTACAAAATATGAAGCTGACGTTAGAGTTTCTTTTAATCACGTTTGTGGCATCGTGTTTTTGACAGGGGTACCATGTATAAATTAAGGCAAAACTAACACAGCAGTATACATCATCCATCATCATCCACAGCCTTTACTAGTCCACTGCTGGACATAGGTCTCTCCTTAGAAAGGAGGTTTTAGCTTACTATACCACGCTGGCCAGACGGGTCGGTATAGGGTTTGTTTCAAGTTTTCCTTCTCTTTGCAGTGCTGTAGTCCTGCGTAGTTTGCTCCCTTAGTCGCCTCTTACGACAGCCACGGGATATTCATCCCGCTGGGCGAAGTGGCAACACTCTGTATTCTTAATCCGTCACCACATGGAATTTAATTTATTCTATGTATGTATACAGAATACATGTATTTAACAGACATGTCACTTCTCTCTTTGACACAAAGCAACAGTAGTAACGTAATCACATTGACATAGTTTATTGTCTTGGTTAAATATTACACTCATTCCTACACGCAATAATATAGGAAGCTACTGTATTATGAAGAGATTGTCTTGAATTGTTTAAATATAAAAAGTTCCACTGAAACATACGAGTACATAACTTATTTGATAGAAAACGAGATCTTAATGGAATTTTGGTAATGGTCTGTCTTTGAAGATTGAGATTCGAGCCCAATAAATCGTGTTATTTAGAAGTGCCCTCCTTTTTATTTTATTTTTTTACGCGTGGAAACCCGCTCGGGGCGTCACCCCACCGGGATGGTGTGTCGGAATCGGACCTACTAAAACCAGACGGTGTGCCACTCTGCGCCTGTAACAAACTTGCCGCCAGGATTGTGATCCTAGCGTTCACAAAACCGACAAGAAGCCCGCCACCGTTGCCTAGAACTTTGACCGACGCCACGGGACAGCTGACCCACACAGCGCCAAGACCTCCTGGACCGGGGCGGATGATGCCGATCCTTATGTTGTCCGCGCTGCACCCCGTCTTCTCACGAATCGCAACGCGGACGTCCTCAGCCGTTACAGAGTCCTCTAGGCTCGAGATGCGCAGCTCCGCACACTTGGTGGGCCTGGCGATCTTCACACCACCCATGGCTGCGAATATTCCCCGCAGCTACTCGGCTAACGTGTCCGCGCTTTTGCGCTTCAGCCCCAGGAAACGCCAGCTCCTGTCTGGGCGAGGCACAATCTGACCCCTACCGTCCCGACATCATGGGCAAGACTATAACGTGTCTTCTTAAATATGGCCGCATAGGACAGCCCCCCGTTAATCGCCTCCTGTGACACAGTGACCGCCCCCTGTAGAGAGGGTAACACAGCAGACAGTGGAGGTGAGCGCTGACGCGTCGCAAAGGAGTACTTCCCAAACCTATACCTAGGTCGCAAGTCCCAGGCGCTGTCGAAGTCGCATGTGTTGCCCTCATCTATCAAGCGATGGACCCGGCACCCGTAAAAAAACTGTAAGTGAGATGGATCGCACATTTTCTTATTTTCTTTAACCTAAAATAAAATCACACCTCTTTGTAATTGTAACGCCTTGCACACATACATACATATTATTTAAAAACGAGCGAGACATTAAGTAGTCGCATATCATATGTATGTATCTTTCTAAGGAGAGGCTTATGTCATATGTAACAGCTGACATTTAACCTACCATCTGATGGACAACTCTATCAATAACATTGGTCAAATCCAATCGAAAACACTCTCACGCACATACCCACGCGCAGACACACACACACACACGCACATCAAAGATTAAGTACAAAAATATAAAGATTTTATCTTACCAATAAATGCAGCAGCATTAACCAGGCCCTTCTGTTGACTGTTCAAATGCAATTCGCACTCCGCTGCTGTGATGGCGTAGCTCATACCGACTGACTCCATGGATACATTCAGCATGATCAGACCACTGGTGAACAGCACCAAGTGGTTGATTTTGCCATGACCTGGTGAGAGATGACAGAGTAAGTTATAGTGTGTGATAAAACCTAGTCACCCAGTGTGTTGTGGATACGTAGATTTTGCAACGAATTCTTGTAATAGTACGAAAACTTTTAGTTTGAGTGGTATTCAAAATTAGATGAACGGTCTTACTCACGTATGTATTTTGGGGTGAGGGGGTGGACTATAGTTGCGGACCTGACAAGGGACCTTTATCAAAGGGTGTAGCGACTTCCGGTCGGTGTCATCCGCTTGACTTCCTCCGGAGGATAAACCATTCCTAGCCTATTTAACTTTCTAGAGAGGACTCTTGTATGCCGACTTTTTTTAATTACTCTTATACTGCCTCTGGCCTGTCGTCATCATCATCATAATCAACAGCCTTTAATAGTCCAATGCTGGACAAAGGCCACTCCTTAGAAAGGAGGTTTTGGCCTAATATACCACGCTGACCAGACGGGTTGGTATAGGGTTTGTGTCAAGTTTTCCTGTCGCCTTGGCGGAAAGTCGACTGTCAGCAGAGTTTTTTTAAATAGAAAACACTGTGTTACCTGTCTTTTCAAACGCATCTTCGAAAGTGTATTCGCTTGTTGGGTTGCGTTTTTGTGTTTCTGTGTCTTCTTCCATTCTCGACGATATTTGATGTTTCTCAAACATTCTTGGTTTTTATACTTCTTTAAAATTACTTCTTCTCAGCGTATGACTAGAGCACACCTGTTTTTTTCAATGTTTTCCTCTTGATAATATCTTGTATTTCCCTGTAAGTAAAGAAACTTATATTATTTAAATGCGATTTATTGTTGCGTAGCCTGTAGCGTTTTTGCCGACACAAAATTATAATATAATAATAATTTTAATAATGATTATTATTTATTTTCAAATAAATTACATACCTTTTTACATTTACTCTGACCTAGGCAAAGCCTGTGTCGTGGCTATCGAACAATACGATTGTCTTATGCCTAGGACTTAACTAACATTTATACATTTATTTTATATATCTGTACTGGTTTTATATGTATGCGTATGATTGTGCATGTGTGTGTTTGCGTGTATACCCATAGTATAGTATATAAAAATAAATAGTATAATACCCATAGTATATCAATCAAACATAAAGAAATACACACAATAAATTTAAAAGTAAATAAAAATAAATAACTAAATACTACGTTTTTATAACTTACAAACAAGCTGTCTCCCCGACTATATTACATGCACACATACAAAACACGTACATAGACAGGACACACAATGGCTTTCCCGCATAGTGCTGTATCGCATTCGTGACCAAAAGAAATGTGCATTTTTTTTTTAAATTCCAAGTTCGTATGTAATATTCACAGTTTTTTTTTAAATAACCTAATAACCTAATCTAACAAAATAAATTACAAAGGAATGTACACAGAATTTGGCAGGGCTATTTACGTGTAAACACTTATTTTTATTTATTATATTTAAAAAAAAACAACACTGCGTTTGCGATACTGAGTGCTGTGCGTCTCTCTGACCTATGTGCGTTCGCTTCGAATAACTAAGTGCTATAGGCATTCGCGCGCTTTTTAGGTATACCTACAACCGATAAGCATCCAGCCTGATTGACCTGATTCTTTAAATTAATAAAAAATATATTTGGGAACAGATTGAAATAAAATAAAAGTGTAGTTTACCACTATACATTACAAAATACAGACAAACCGCCAAAAATCTTAAAAACTGTTTTATTAAGTTCTGTGATTTTATTGAAGTCCCCTTTATTAGTTTTTCTTCAATATCTATAATGCACAGACATCGACCAGGTACAATGTTATTATATGTATAGATATAGATTTATTTTTTCAATTAAAATAAACAAAGAGACTCAAATACCAGCGCGCTGCAGCGGTAAAATCTGTTGCTTGCCACGACACTACAACACTATCCTCGCTAGGTTGCACCTGGCACTCTTATTTACTTATTTATTTTATTTCATTTATTTTTAGGTACAGTAACAGATAACAAATCAGAACACACACAAATATGTTGACAACATACAATACTTAAATCTATTACAAAGCTTATATGAGTATGTTAACAGACTAAAGTATTCACATAATAAACATAAGTTCCATTATTTATTACGAAATAATTTGTTTAAGATTTAATTAAAAAATAAAACAAAGATTTAAAAAAAACCGAAGAAATTATACAGATACTACTGTTTGGTACATTCTTTTAGTAATAAACTTATGAATAAATTATATGTATTCTCAGAAACTTATAACAACTAACTAAGTAACTTATCAATATAAAACCTTACAACTTTACCAGAATTCCCTCGATTTTAATATTTAACGATAAATAAATTTAAAATTAAAAATATTTTTACTACGTGATTGCGTTTCTTTGGCTACAAAGGTACTGTTCTTGTACTAATTATCTTGTAATACAAAGATTTTCAAAATTTCTGTGATAAAAACTCAAATTTAAAGAGTGGACCAATTGGTTTGTAATTGTTACAGCTTTGCCCATTTTACAGAAACCTTTATAATAACGGCTTTCTTACCTTCTAGGTCCCACAATTTAACGACCCTACAGGAAAATTGTTAATCTAACGTTGGGCGTTATTATTTTTAAAACAAATGTCTGGTAACAAAACAAAGATTTAAAAAAAACTCCGAAGAAATTATACAGACATTATTGTTTGGCACATTATTTTAGTAATAAACTTATGAATGAATTATATGTATTCTGAGAAATGTCTGAAGAACTGCACATTCTGAATTGGACTGGATTGTTCTGTGATACATTATTGTTGCTAGGTACTGAGAACAGAGATTTTTTTTCTCAGAGCGGGATCGGGAGAGGGCCAATCCCGCTGGTAAGAGGCGACGAAGGGGACGCGGCAGTAAACACTAAATTATTTATGCGTAAAACACAGCTAACAAGATAAGTTAGTCGATATCACCGCCTCACAGAAAAGCAAGCAGTTCTTAAGTTGCTTTTCGCCGAGTGAGAGAGGTGACCGGAGTCCAAACCCTCCACTTTACCCTGATTCTGGGGGAAGGGACTGAAAGGGCGGCATTGCACTGGTGACTCTTAAGTTGCAGTGTCCCTGGGCAGCGGTAGTCACTCACAATCAATGAATCAGTCTGCTTGCTTGCCCAACCAAAAAAAAGATTGCACTGAACGGCGGCCAACTTAGCCAGACCTGTGTCCACGAGTTAGCCGCGAAGTATCTGAATGACCCACGACGCTTTAATAATAATAATAATCATTTTATTGGAGTAACCATGACTCATTGCTTGTTAGTAATACATAAAACTTATCCTATGTTAGTAGTGACAATTCACAGTATTAATATTTTTATTTATGCACTCCATGAGAGACGGCGCTGCAGTGACCAATGTACCTGCAATCTAACCTCTCTGTGATCATGGCTAGTATGCTGTTAGAGCTAGCCCGCACCCTGCGCACCAAAGATGCACACCGTTTTCGCATAATAGTGTGAAAGCAGTCCACTCGCGAAAGCTTTACGAACTTTAAGTTTCGGTGGGGCCGTTACCGAAATCGAACCTTTGGTCGGTCACTAGTTAAGGTGTTTAAAAATATTTGTGCCGGGTTGACGGGAAGAGGCTCGCCCCTTATTACGTAAGTGGGACTAGACGGCAACATATTGTGGGCGTTGAACACACCTCTGTCTACAGCTTCGGAGATAAAGACAATGTGTGTTTATGTATATGTAACCATTAGAATACAAAATACGTCAATATGCACTAGGTAATCTGCAAATTACTTTAAATTTTTATTTAAAATGGCAGATATCTTTACTTTACCTAGTTAATCTGCATATGAACAGATACTACACAGTTAAATTGCGGAAGACAGTGAACGAAACAGTTCCAACCTAACCTAAACCCAACTTAACTTCACCGTCTGCTTGGCCGATAGTTTAAAAATTACCTAGGAAATGAAACAATTTTTTTCATTTTCACGGGGTAACTTTTAATAACAAATATAAGGAGTTCCACTCATCCTCACACAGGAATATGTAAACAATTTTCTTTTTCTTCTTTCAATCTTACTTACACTTAGAGTTTTATTGACCTTACAAAATGTGAGCAATGTTGCGGTATATTTCAATTGATGTGGGCGCAATCATCACACTAATAACAAACACTATGAAGGCGAAAGTTTGTGAGTGTTTGTTACTTCTTCACGCTCAAACGGCTGGGCCAATTTTGATAAATTTTAGTATGGAAGTAGTTTTCCCGTGGGATGAGCAAGGAAGTATTTGATTAACCGCGGATAACACCGCGGCGCGCTGCTAGTTTAAAGTAATTTAGATTAACCAAGTCTTCTGCTAAGAGCTTCACCTTTTCCTTCTCTCTGCAGTGCTGGTGTCCTGCATTGGTTTGCGCCATTAGTCGGCTCTTACGACACCCACGGGATGAATTGGGGTAGCGACATTCCGTATTCTTATTCCGTCACTACGCGGACACATTTTAAATAAATAATAGGTCTTTACCTATGAAATTGCCGTTTTGTATGCAATACGTGAAAGTACTTATTTTTTCAAACTTTTTTATTTCTGTTAATCGAAGTAATTACCCATGCAATCTACGCATCTTTGCCAACGCATTGGCAGTTTATTGATGCAGACCTTGCACCTGCCGACTATTACTTTTTCCAAAATTTAGACAATTTTTTAGTGGGTAAAAATTCAATTCCCGAGAGGCAGTACAAAATGCCTTTGAAGAGTTTGTTGCCTCACGTCCAGCTGATTTTTACAAGAAGGGCATCAAGCATACAAAACGGCAATTTCATAGGTAAATACCTAATAGCAATAATACCTACATCAGTTCTTTTACACAAAATGAAGTAATGTACCTTTATTTTTCTTTACAGTTTTATTATCAGCTTGTGTTTCTGACGTTTCCTTTACTTTAAGATAAAAAACAACAAATTGTCAATAGACACCAAGGCTTCTTAAAACAATTGGAAGCTATTTTATTCCTTTTAAATTATGCTTTGTATCACTTTTTGTTTTAAAAAGAATAATAGGTATAATTTGATGTTTATTAATTTATAATGTAACTATTCAAAGTTGATGTTAATTTATGTAGAAATTTGATTATTTATTGTATCTGTTTAACACAATTTGTAACTTTTTAAAGATTTATCTGTCTTGCACATCACGGTCAGATTTGACCATGAATGGTACAAGATAAGAGATTTTACCGTATACTTACTTCGTTACAAGGTTGAGCACTAATTTACTTTAGTTCTTAATTCTTTTTAACCGACTCCAAAAAAGGAGGAGGTTTTGAATTTGACTGTTTCTTTTTTTTTGTAAAAAGGATTGCTACAGTAGGTTATGGTTTGATGTTTTTATTTCCTGTATGGTATCATTGAAAAAAAAAAAACTCCGTTTCTCAGATGCCGGTGTCATTCGGGTCGTGAGGCTTTCGGGACTGAAACCGCGGCCCCGAATTCCCCATATTGATGGAATAATTATTTTTGAGTAGTATATTAGGACCACAACTAAATGTCTTGGGGAAGTACTGTCAACCGAAAAAAAAAAGTTATACAAATAAAACTATTTTTATGAAACGATAAAATATTTATTTCAAATATGACGGCTTTCAGTAAATTAACAGAAATGTTTTTAATTAAAA